CGAAATCTTATTTTTGAAAGGTTCCAACCTCCAACCTTTAAAACAATTTTTGACCCGTTTAATGTTTATAGCTCAAAAACTAGCACCCCTATTAAAATATCGAACTAGGATCTTGTGAGCGCTGGCCCTAATTTGACACTGTAACGAATCAAGTCAGGGACTAAAAGTTTTTACCGTTTACAACAGTTTCAAATGCCTTGGCGCAGTACGTAGTGCGGTTGGTGCAGTGATGCAATTACCTCATGAAGTCACTATCGAACTTTGGCGTAATATAACGGATTCTGGCAGCCGGTGATACATCTTCATCGCATGTATTACCCCATAACAATAAGTCTGGGAGGCAGACTGATGCATGGCGCTTTGCATGAAATTTGTTTTTTGGATTTGCTTTTCAGGTGCTGGAAGCGTTGAGTTTGTTGACAGTAGATTTTCCATCCGATCCAGCATTCGGCGATCGTCGAAATTTCCTTGCAACACTGCTTTATGTTGACCCAAAGGTATTTTGCTCTTCCTCTGTTTTGTTATTTGCAGAAATTCAGCGTGTAAATGAATCATGTGCCAGGATTTCTTGTTTCTTTCGGGCTGCGCCAAAAAAAAAGTGAATCTTTCGGGCTGTGTCGAGTCTAGAGTGTCGTAGCTAGCTTTTGAGAGTTCTGTGAGCAGTTTTCTGTAAATTCTGCATTTCTAGTATTCCATGAATAATTTACTTGTTTCTAAACGCATACTTATCAGTTTGAGACTGGTTTTGATGCCATATTCCATGGCTGAATTGTTCGTCTGTACAGCTGAGTTTTGCACTTGCTTGGTTGGTAAAATTTCCTGCGTTGGGCTAAATTTAACGCTTCCCTGGGCTGAAATGCACTTTCACTAGCACCTACTTAGCTAGATTTATTCAACTTCTTTTTCGCATTATTTCAGCTAAATCATATACTGATGAAATTTTGCCTTCTCTTTACCATTCTGTCTACTTTCTCTAAACTTTACGCACTTTAGGCTGAGTTTTTTTTTTTTGGCACGTTTTGATTCAGCTTTTCCAGATGTTTGATTTTTTTGCCTCCCAACAGAGAAAGCATGTCATTTTGATCCACTTGTCCAAACATTGTTTTTTCGGATGCATTTACGCGCGCCTTCCTTGTTGTTTTACAGAACTTCCGGATTTTGCTCTCAGTTTTCTTGTTGCTGTACTTTAGACTGTGGATGTGTGTGCGAAAACAGGTGCTCACTTCACTCGACGAGCAAGAAATGCTTTGGTCGCTGAAATACAGGAACTGCTGCCCACTTCGGTCATGCTTCCGAGCAACAGACTGGAAAAATTGCTGACACAGTGTAAGTGTTATTTTTTCGCGATACCTTTTGGACAAAAGAACATTTACCGCGGGTGTTTTTCACCCCATGCTAATGGCTTTTCTGCTATCGGCAGCCATTTTTATGCGTTTTGCGCTGTGCAACAGCTGCACAAAACGCATGTTGTCACGGGGTTGTCTGTGTGTGTTTGTGTATGTGTGTGTGTGTGTGTGTGCTTGTGTGTGTATGTGTATGTTTTTGTGTGTGTGTGTTTTTGTATGTATGCGTATGTATGTTCGCAGCAGCTTGTTACATCTGTCCTCTACTGAATATTAGCGATATCTTGGGCGGTTAAATTGAGTCCTCGATTCTCATTGTACTGTGGTCCAAACCCGAAAATTTTAAAATTTATTTGTTGTCTGGTCTTAAAATTGTTAAAATGGCTCTCTAACTTGAGCCTCAGGATCAAAAAACGCAATGACACACGGGTGCGAAACATGGAAGGTGGGGAGGGGAAAGAGTGCTTGAAGTGTCTGTTCGGGAACATGTAGAAAGACGCTTCGCCGAATAATTAGTCCCTGGGATTACGAATGTTTGAATAGCTTGCGCATGCTTTCGCAGTGAAACTAAACCTCTCAGACTTTGTAGCTTGGAAGATGCAGTGCCATGAATGCTATTTGCATGTTAGGGATGATGTTGAACTCACTCCGGACTACATTCTGGAAGATCATCAATGCGACTGGGACGAGTTTCCCTTATTCACTTCTCAGGTTCAGTACATTTTTCATCTGCTGGACATGTTGGTGTTTTTCATTCCACTCCAAGACGTTTCCTTATTTTGAATCCGCGAAAAGAAGCATTTATTAAGCTAAAACTTAACTTCATTTCTTTAAATCAAGCAACAGTTTTGGAGTTTTAATCTGAAACCAGCGTAGTGATCCTAAGCGGACAGGCGACCAGTCCTATTTTGTTGCTTTTGTGGCTTAGTTCTTTTTAGATACACACAAAGAACTGTCAGAGTTGCAAACCTCCCCATTTTCGATCATTCTCAGGCTATCGCCATATCCGCATTAGAAAGAAGAGCTGGATCTCAATCTTTTCATATAGGGGGGAAAAAATCGTTGAGCTATTAAAGTGCTGCTCACTGCCCGGGAAGGGAAATCAGACCCGAATGGAAGCTTTTTGTTTCCTTTCGGTAACCGATTTCTTATGACATCTCTATTTTGCAGATCTGTTTTTTATAAGATCGGGAGTGGAGAAGTGAAAGAATGATGATCTAAGGGCAGTGTTTGGTTGCAGTGATATTATATGCCTGTTTAGGTATTATCAAAACATTCGGATGAAGTTTGGTGCGTGCAGTTTTCGCCTTGTGGAAGATACTTAGCGACGGGCAGCAAATCTGGACCTGTGCATGTTTGGAAAGTACTTAATGCCACTGCTGTGGAATCATACAGGGAACTTGCAGGTTTGATACTTGTTTTTGCGTCCCTAAACCACAGTTTTCCGAGGCACAGCAGCACAGATTGCTTAAGGGAGTCTGTGCCCTCGTAGTATTTGACCACTTCATTGGATCCAATTTACATATAATATTTTTGGCTGATACTTTAATGTACGGTTGTTTAAAGCGAGAACACGGCGCAGCTGGGATAAGATACGGTGAGGGAGCTGCGCTCTGCTCTTTGAGACGTTTCGTTTGTGAATTTTGGCGAGTTTATGGCTGTAAATGTTGTGTCACGGTATTACCTGTTCCAGTACGAAAAGGCTGCTCAGTGCTGACGTGGAGTAGTGATGGGGTTTTGCTTGCAATAAGCTCAAGCAGTGGTCACCAGGCCGATATTTACATCTATGATGTGTGTGCTGGCTCCATCTTCTGCTCAATCGAAAACAAAGCAAACGACAGCACCGTCATGACATTTGTGCCGAATTCAACTCCCTATCGACTTGTTTGCGCCGACCAAGTGGGCCACTTCAAACAATATGTAAGCGTTTCCGCATTTTTCTGAACTAGAAAGGGGGATTTTTAAAAGTTCACCTACATCTTACGAGACCGTTGAGATTTTAGATGTAAGGATTTTGAGTGAATGCTTTTTTTTCGTTTCCATTATTTTAGTTACTGGTAGCACAAAGGCTTAAAGCTTAGTTCGGGTTTTTCGTGGGCGATTAACGATTAATTCATTTAAGAAACTTTTACTGTCACTGCCCGATGACAGCTTTCGTTGTTTTCTTCTAATAGTTATGAGAAAGAAAGGTGATCGGAATTGTAATGCCTAGCTTGCCAGATACGACACTAATTGCCGGAGGAAGTGAACAGGCCGGAGAGATATTGCCCCCCCCCCCCTTGCAGGTATTGTTTCCCCTTGCGTGGATATTCTGATGCCAGGACTGAAGGCGCCGGAAGCGAACATAATTAATCTAAAAAACATTTTAATTCGCATTTGAGATTTTATCGAAGGACGGTGCAAAGACCGATGGAAAATTTGAAGGATACAGGATCCGCGCTGTTCACTGCTTACAGGATGGGGCTGTTCTAGCAGCAGACACGCACAACAGGTACAACTACTGCAGATTTAATCTGATCGGATTGGATTTTAAAAATTACAATATTTGATTGTGCTTGGCTGTTTTTCCATATTGAGAAAGTGGTGTTTTTTGAAAGAGGACGAAAGTAGGGTTTTGATTTCCGAAGACAGCAAATCAATTTCTGGCCAAAGCAAGGAAGCCTGCTGCTTTAATTCATAATGACGGAAGTCAAAAAATTCGACTACGTTGCTATAATACGTTAGGACATCGAATTCAGTTCACAAATACTGATTGAGGGACACTTTGCTTCTTTTCCAGTAGCTGCTTCGTAAAACGTCACTCAGGCTCTTTGTCTTCAGTGAAACACAAAGGATTTTGAATTATAGGAGTGAATGTGCACATCAGTCGAACTCGGCTTATAATAAAGCATTTAGCGTATGTGATGTTTCCTGAAAGTATTGGCTTCCTTGCTCTGTCTTCGATTATGACCACTGACAAATGAGCGCAATTTTTAGAGTTCGCAGTTATCGATTTAACGAAGACACCGATGAAACGCTGATTGAAGAGTGCAGCCCGATATCGACGTTTGTTGTTGATAAACCCGAAAATCGCATTTTGATTGATACAAAATTGCATGGCTTACGGCTTTGGGATTTGCGATCTCGCACACTGATAAGAACGTTTATTGGTGCACCTCATCAGAATTTTATTATCCATTCAGCTTTCGGCGGCCCCAAGCAATCATACATTATCACGGGTGGAGTAGGTGCGCGCTTATTTTTATTTAAATAAATATTTACAGGCGGATGATTCATACAGATGATTTTTTATCCGAACTATGATGCAGATCACTTTGCGAGTGTACAATTGGTATTCCGAACCTGTCTTTCAGTCGTCCTGTTTAATCACTTTTTGACGTAGTTAGGCAGTCCGGAACTAATTTTAATGTCTTTTGAGCTAAGCCTTTGATTAATCCTTGCGTTTTTCGGACAAATTTTGGACCTTTGCATTTCCTCCATTTGCATCCCTCCATATAAATTAAGTGTCTGCATCAATGAGTCTCCCGTCTCAACGATGATATTTAATAATTCTGTGAGAGGAAATGGCAAACGTAATGTTCAGGCAGTGGTGTTTTGACATGTTTTTTTTTATTTTGAAATTTATCAGGTATCTTTTCTTGAACTACTGTTTTTCACAAAATCTTTTGTGCATATTTTAACGGGCCATTTGAACTACGAACAGCGAACATCCCTGCGGTAGAAGTCTCTAAATGAAACTTGCTACACCGTTTGGGCAGCAAACTATTTTCAGATGAATATGTATATGTGTGGAACGAAATTTCGGAAAAGCTGATCGCGAAGTTATCTGGACATGGAGCTCGTGTGAATGGGGTGGCGTGGAATCCGAAATTACCGATGATGATTTCATGTTCGGACGATTGCACCGCTCGTGTTTGGGGCCCAATTTCTAGTACTGATAAGTCTTGTTTTCGATACAAATGATTCCCCTCAGTTCATTTTTTATGTCTTTTTGTATCTTTATGCAGACGCAAGAAGGCATAAAAGTCGGCAT